CACTGACATGGCGGTATCTCTGAGAGGAGGTCCCTGTGGATCACGATATTGGGTTCCTGTCGCCTTGAGAAGCAAGCCAGAGAGAAAACTCCAGGAAAGAGACGGAGAATTCAGGCACTCTTTTGGTTGGCTTTATTCTGGTGACTGCGACCGATCCAGAATGCTTTCCAGGGCATTCTGCAGAAGTAGAAAACGGGCCCTTGACTATCTTTGTGGTCTGCAGAGGGCCTGCCATGAAGGCTCCTGGGGCCTTAAGAACTGATCCTGAGGAGGGCATCCCCATAAACATAAAAGAAGGGGAAGAGGGGCTCTCCTGCACATGGGACCCCGGAGAAGGCATAGAGGAGCATCTCTCTGTCCGCATCATAAAAGGCCACCTGCCCCCCATCACAGTTCAGAGACACCCGGATTGTCTTTGGCTCCCCACTCACAGGCAGAGCAAAAGAAAGATTAATGCAAGCTTTGCATGTATCTCCTGAATACCACAAAACCCAGAACCCTTCCTTAGGAGAAAAATGAACCGGGCCCTTTCTGTTCACAGACTCCCTGGCGACACCCACTGCCCACTTTCCCTCACTTCCCACACGGACTTTCCAGGAGTGTCTTCCAACTGTGAAGCCCTCACAGCCCAGCACAAACAGGAAGTTGCTGAATCTCTTCGGATTGTCAGGCACATTTTTATTTTGTCTCCCTTGCTGACACTTTTATGATCCTCGGACAAGAGGAGACGAGGATGAGCAGTGTCCGGATCCAGGGTCACATTTGCTGCTGGGGATGGAGACAGAGGAAGAAAGCAGAGGATGAGCCATTTTGATCTCCATCTTAAGCATCAACACCCAACTGGCATCATCGCTTCCCCCTCAGTTCCAATACAAGATGAACTACTTCACTCAAAAGCTAAAGGCAGAGTTTACAGTTCCCCAAGCCCACTTCCCCAAACCTCTCCTCACTTTCCCTCCCTTTCCCTGACTGCCCTCCCAGTTTTAGAAATAACCAAAAACAACAAGTTCCTTCCTAGAAATCATTTGGGGGGCACCCTATTCCCCTTGGTGTCATTAGGGGGTCCTTACACTGAAACACACCCTGCAAATTCAGGCAAACCTCCACAGATTTCCCTGCCTGAATTTCACTGGCAGCTTCAGCCTCGTTGTCCTGAAAGCGTCCAGCCACTCTGGACAGACCTGGGATTCGGAAGCACCCAAAGGCTCTCTCACAAAGATAGGAGGCTCTTTGGAACCACAATTCCTCTCCGCTAATGCCAATTCCTAGTATTCCCCTCAGGCAGCATCGTTCCTCCAACCCGGGAGCATCTCACATAAACATCAGCTGTGCTGGGTGCCTCCTGGCCAGTGCCAAGAACATGGCAGACCAATGTCCCCCCCCTCCCCCACCGATCTGCTCAGCAATTCTGGAAGGAAAATGCAGCTCGAGAGTCACGCCAGAGTTGCTGGGCACCAGGGGAGCATCTGTGGGCACCACATCCCAGATGCCAGTGGCATGAACGTCCCCCAGAAGCCTTTCTACGCAGGGCTAGGAATAACTGCCTCGCACGCTTTCCTCCCTAGGCTGGAATCTGAGCTCTGCAGGAAAACCTTCCCCTTTCAATTCCTTCAACACAGAACCCGCAGGTGGCACGATGCCCTGGGGAAACAGTGCAAGTACTGGAGGAAAAACAGTGCCAGGCCTCTTTCTCTAAAATAGGACCTTATTTTTCTCAATGTGAGAAACAAGCAAACCCACAACCTGGGAGAGTGGTTGGGAAACAAAACGAAACAGAAGTGAAACTGGAGCATCGCAGCATTTTGGCAACAGCCCATCCATGAGTGCAAGAAGGAAAGTGCGACTCACAAGTAAAGGGGCCCCTTCCATTCCGCAGTGGCAGAACCTGAGAGTGTCCCGCGAATCCGCCTGGCCAGGCTTCCCTGCGCGGCTGAACCGCAGGCGCTGCCTGTAGCCCAACAGCGATTCCTGGGCAGCCGCGGCCCCCACTCCGCAGGCTGGCAACGGGGGAAGCCATAATGGGGCTTCCTGTACCCATGGGGACCCCAAGCTAGAAAGGGGGCGGGCCAGAAATGGGGACAGATGACGCTTTGTTTCTTCTGCCATGCAGCTCCCAGCAAGCAACCTTCCAGGATGACCCCTCCAGATTCCAAAATTATGTGGAAATTGAATAATCATAGAGTAGTGGCGCTGGAAGGGGCAAGAGGGCCCTCAGGCCCAGTGCCCTGCTCAGTGCAGGCCTCCTCTTGAAGCATCCCTCCCAGAGGGCTTCCAGCTGCACCTGGGCTGCCTCCAGGCTGGGACAGACCCCACCTCCCGGGCTCATTGGCTCCACTGTCTGACTGCTCCAACGGTCTGCAAAAGGCTCCTGATACGTAGCTGGAATCAGCATTCCCTTAACCGGACCCCATGCTTGTGTGTCCTGCAAACTTTTATGGTAAAAAAGAGACCTTGGCCCTCCCCTCTTACTATCTTTTCAAATATTTGCCATCCTATCTCCCCTCAGTCTTCTTCGCTTGAGGCTAAAGAGGCCCAGCTCTTCCAATCCCTCCCCCCGGGGCTTCGTTTCCAGTGCTCAGATCATCTCAACCCTTCCCAGCCTGTCTGCATCTTTCTGAAACTGCGGAGCACTGAACTCTCTGTAATACTCAAGATGGCCAACTGTGGCGCCCTTGAGAGCTGATCCCCTCTTTCAGCTAATTTGCCACTGAAGATCTCATGGGGCACCTCATTAGAGGCTTTGCTAAAGAAAAGGTGCAAGACGTGACCAGTCTTTCCAGTTTCTAGGTGGTGAAAACCCAAAGCAGGAATGAAAACCCCCAGGAAGCCCTCTCCACACCAGCTGATTTTCCCGGTGGGGAAAAAAGGCCACAAAAATTAGTGAATTGGTAGCCACGCAACCAAAATCCTCCCATTGCAGCTTCTACCATCACTTATAACAGCAGCAAGAGAAGGAGAGGATCTTCCCAGTCTTCTCTAAATACCTTTGGATTCACTCATGACTACAGGGAATTGCTTCCTCCATCGCTCCAGGTCAGGCTTTCTGTCAGAGAAGTCCCAGATCCTCCGTTTCAGCTTCAGAAGGAAAGCCGCTGGGATGTCACAGGGCTCCTCCTCACTTCTGTCAGAGAAAGCAGAGGTAACCTACACTCACCGAACCCAGGATCCCCTCTGGGAGCAAAGGAGGGCCAGCCAAGAACAAAAGGTGGGCCTCCCTTTGCATGGGGCAATGGCCCCCAGAGAACCCTCCAGCAGCCCCACAGCTGCCCTTCAGCTGACTGGGGCAGTCGGGGCAGTCTGCTTGTGTTCAGTTATTAGGGTCAGCACTGCATGTGCTGTGTGGGTTGTGGGAAGTTTGCCCCTTTGGGGGTGATATTTGGATTGTGGGGTCTGCATATATGAGCGTAGTGGTGGGAGGTGTGCTTTGCTGGCAGAGAGGAGCCTTCCGCCGTGCGTGAGGGAGGGGAAGGAGAAGGAGAGTTCTAAACTCGACAACCAAACCCTGTTTTTGTCTTGAGAGACGCTGGTGATCTGCATTCTCTGCTCAGGAGCCGGGAGCAGCCGGTCCTCCCAGTGCCATCCAGACCCTTCCCTGCACCAGTGGAAATGAGGGGGACACACTCACCTCTGCAAGATGCTTCTCACATCCTGGAGGGGAAAGAGGGAAAGAGGAGGCGCTCAGCGGGTGTCGCTCTGCACTCCTGAGATGCGCCTGCCCAGTCCTGTTCGGTGCCTCCACTTGAGGGCACAAAGGGAGGGACAGAAACCAGCTCCACCAGGAGGCACAAGGAGGAGCTTCATGATGAGGGACATGAATGGACTGGGAGATTCCCCCACCGCCAGGAAGCCTCCAGCTGAGTGCCAAGACTGATGCCCATCCTGGAGGCTCCTGCCAGTAACGGTGCTGCTTGCCAGGCCAACATGCACTCTGCCCTCTGGAAACAGGCGCAACCCTGAATTATATTCAGGAAGGGAGGATGTGAGAGGATTCAGACTCAGGCCAGGCGCCTCCCACAGCCTCTTTTGCTCCCGCAGCCTGTCCTTTGGAGGGCAGCCTTCTCCCGGCTTCCCCAGGCAGGAATCAACCACTCCTTTCCAGCAGCAGAACACGGGGGCGCTTGCCCACAGGAGCCACACTGAGAAGCTCCCTCTTGTGTGCAGAAGACAAATTTCGTCAGGCTTTGGGGGCATCAGGTGTGAGTGGAAACATGCAAGAGGAGTGAGGTTAAGGTCTGCCTGTCCTGGAGCTGCACCATATTTGAGATTCTGTTTAGCACAGGAATAGATTACTACATGGAGGTGTTACTATTACTACTACTCTACACGACTCTGGTGCGCCCGCAATTGGAGTACTGTGTTCAGTTTTGGGCCCCTCATTTCAGAAAGGACATAGCCAGGTTGGAGTCAGTGCAGCGTAGGGCCACTAGGCTGGTGGCGGGTTTGCAGGGGATGCCGTATGAGGCGAGACTGAGGGAACTGGGTCTCTTCAGCCTGGAGAAGAGGAGACTCAGAGGGGATCTGTTGGCGACATACAGGTATCTGAGGGGGTGTCGCACGGGGGTGGGTAGATACCTGTTCTCCCCCGCAGAGGAAGGCAGGACGTGCTCCAACGGACCAAAGCTCAGGGGACCAAGGTTCAATTTGGATGCCAGGAAGCACTTCCTGACAGTCAGGACCCGAGGGTGTGGAATGGGCTTCCACGAGAGGTCGTTGAGGCCCCATCGGTGCGGGTGTTCAAGGATAGGCTGGACAACCACATGGTGGGCATGTCGTGAGCGGAGCCGGCTGGTGCCGGAGGTCAGACTAGATGGCCCAGGAGACCCCTTCTGACTCGCTCTGTTTCCGTGTTTCTGTGTTCCTAGATCCGACCTGCCTTCCAGATTGGCAACACCACTAGGCCAGACTGCTTTGCGATCGCTTCCCCAGCCCCGCACCACCCTCTGCTTCGGCCTGGGTCTCATGAAGGGCCTCATCGCAGGGTGGCCCCGTCAAAGGGTCCGCACTGCCTGCCTCGGCCCTCCCTCCACACACGCAGAGGCCAGCAGCGTCAGGCTGAGCCTCCTCCTTGGGGGATGTGGGGGCTCCTGCCCCCTCCTACCTGCAGGAGTTCAGCTGCCGGCTGCTGGCTCTTCTCCTCCACCTCCCGCATGATGCCTTCAAGGGAAGAGAGTTCCTTGGAAAGCCGGGCCAGATTGTCCTCCGCTTTCCTGGCAATCTGCTCCTGCAGCTGGTCCACCTGGGCCAGGAGGTGCTTCTCTTGCTCTTCCAGGAACCGATGCAGTCGCCTGAACTGAGCCACCATCTCCTCCCGCTCTGCCTTTGCTTGCTCCTGCAAGGAGAGTGTGGAAAGGCGGGAATGGGCAGCCGGAGCCGGAAACGGGGTCAGTCTTGCGAGGGATCCTCAGGGACCCCCTCTCAGAATGGCCCCTCTTGCATAATTGCTATAGGAAGTTCAGCACTTTGAACAATGTCATGTTCTCCGCAGGGAAGGGCTGCCCTGGGCTCTCGATTCCCCACCATTTTCTCTTCCATGTGACCCATCCTGGCTGAAGTGCTCCTTCCCTTCCATGACACATTCTGGACACTTACCAGCAGCACCTGCTTCTCCCTTTCTGCCTCTGCTTTACATGCCAAAATCCTTCCTCTCTCTTCCCTCAGACTCTCCAGGCGACGCTGCAGCAGATCCTGGAGAGGGAGGAGCAGTTCACTTTCAGTTTAGAGAAGCAGAAAAAGGAATTGAAGGGGATGTTTATGTTTGCTTCTCTTTTGCATCTTGGTGGGGTCAGGGGGAAGGGGGCTCTCAGGTGCCTTCTTGATCCCAGGCGGATCCAGAAACGAGCTGCAACATGCGCTGGGCAGGCTCTGAGCCGAGATGAAGGGACGGTGCGATCCCAGAATGATCGGTCAAAACACCATTCAATTGACTGCCCATCCTGAGCTCTTAACTTTGAAAAGGAAAAGGCTTTTTCTGCTGTTTCCTCATGAGGGGAACCAGCAAGGGAGCATCCCGAAAGCACAGGGAAGGTGGAGTGGAAGAGGCTTCTGGCCACCCCAGAAGTGACCAGTGCCGCTCTCATCCCCGGGCAGGAATGGCAGGCAGGGCAGCCCCTCTGTGGAGGAAGCAGCCTGGAAGGACACCGGCCCCTGCAAGGGGGTATTCCTGCTTTTCCTGGGGAATTCTTCCCTTCGTCCGGAATTGCACTGGGGTTGGGCATGGCCTGTGCAGGATCTCTGATAGAATCCTTCTCTCCCTGAAATGGGCTGTTCCTCAATAAAGGAAAGATTGCAGCACCTGGAAACACAGGCAGAGTGCAGCTGGTGCCTTGAGGAAGTGCAAGGACAAGAAACGGGGAGGGGAAAGAGGGAGCACCTGCAGCTCTGGATCCTCACAAATATTCCATGGGTCAAGGCCCTTAAGTGCACCCAGCATCTTTGATCACCCCCTTCAGTGCCGGCCTCTCATTGGCTCTGCGCCCAGAGACCAGCTGGGCCGGACACACGCCTGCACACAAGCACAGGCACACGCAGGCACACAATCCGGCGAGTCGGGGCTGTGGGAGTGTGGCCCTTCTTTTAATGCAATTCAGTATTTCGTTTAGCAATATTGTTTATTAATGGTTGAACCTGTATGTCTTGGCCACATGCAGTTGGGCTTTCACGAAGCCTTTGGGTAGAGGCAACAGAGGTTTGGGGACATGCAAAAGGCAGGCAGGAGGAGTCTTAAAGAGCCTGCTCCGTATTCCAGCTCCAGTGCGAATCTTGGTAAACTCCGGAGGGGTGGGGGTTGGAAGGAGGGCAGAGGAGAAGAGGGACTAATTCCCGGGACCACCTTTCCCCTGGGAGTCTCTGAGGCCGCTCTCCCCTCCCCGCTCTGGGGCCCCTCCACGCACCTCCATCATGTCCTGCCACACCGGCTCTTTCCTCTCCCCCTCCTCAGAGCAGGCACAAACCCTGAGAACTTCCCCTCAGGGCAGCTACGCCTCTCCCTGCAGCATTTCAACAGCCTCCTTTGGCTCTGCCCAACCCAGACCTGGTGCAGGGAGCAGCTGGAGGGGAACAACCTAAACAACTCCCACCCCACAATCCCGGGGCTTCTGGGCTTCCCCCAGATCCCTTTTGCACAAGAAAGAACACGCATGTGAACAGCAATCCTGCCTGGCCCTTCCCAGGGGCCTGGTTCCTGGGTAATCCAGAAAGGAAAGAGATCAGAGGATCACGGAGCATCATTCCCTTCCTATTAGTCTTCGGATCGACCACCCTCAGAGGGGCCCACAGGTGTTTCTCCCACCCCCACACCCCCAGCAAGAAGTGCACATATCTCCTACCTGGTACTCCTGGGACGCCTCCTCCAGGGGAACCACCTGGTGATCCTTGTGCTCCTTGGCTCTGTCACACACCAGGCAGATGGGGGCTTCGTGGTCCTTGCAGAAGAGTTTCTGGGGCTCCCAGTGCTTCTCACAGAGTTGCACCTTCCCTTCAGCCCCTTTGATTTTTCTGGCAATTTCCACAATCCTGGCCAGGTGCCGATTGTACCGGAGGTTCCTCTTCTGGAAGGTCCCCTTGCACTGGGGGCAGGAGGCCTTCCTGTCTGATTCCTTGCTGCACTTGCTCAGGCAGGCTCGGCAGAAATTGTGCCCACACTCGGTAATGCTCACAGGATCCCTGAAATAATCCAGGCAGATGGAGCAAGCGGATTCCTCGCTGAGAGCCCGGACGGTGCTCTCGGGGCTGCCAGCCATGGCTGCTGCACACAGCGGTTTCAATTTCCTCATGTCAGTAAGTGGGAGTTTCCTTCCCGTAAATGCGAGCCCGGCCCGTCCTCACTCTGAGGCCCAAGCCACCCATGTGACTCCGTCCAGACTTACTTTCCAGCACCGCACAGTCACTTCCTGCCACATGCAGCTCATCAATTCACTGTTCTCTGTTCCTCTGAATCTAGCGAAGGGTCCTTTTATTTATGTTATTAAGAAATAACATGCGGCATTATCTGGCACCCCAAGGAACTGGTAAGAAGGTGTCTGTACTGGATATTTTTATGCCCCGTCTGTTATATGCAACGTTTGGGGAGAGGGGATCAGGTGGGCACTTTGCTGGAGGCACATAAGAGGGAAGCCACAGGGCTGGATGGATTGAGACAGCACAACAGGAAAGGGGGAACCTTCAGGACAACGTGGGCTTTGCGTGGCCTTTCTGTCCAGAGGATGGAACAGAAGCCAGTGGCCCCCAGGCTGAGAGCAGTCAATATCCCTCCCAGTCCCAGGACGGAGGTGCCAACGGGGGCAGCAGCTACAGCACCACTGCACTAACGCCCCATCCCAGCAGGGAGATGCTCAAGGTGGGGAAACAAGGAGGATCCCCAAAACGCAGTTAGAGCTGCTCGACCTGCACGCTGGACCCTGCAAGGAAGAGACGCTTGAGATCGTCTTGCCAGTGCATTCTGGCTCCTGCAGTGCAGCAAAGTGGGTCAGAAGAGGACCGTCCGTGCTTCACACACTCCAGCCCGGCCTTTGTCCGTGTGGATCTGAGGAAGCCATGGCTGGTCCTGGGAGAATGGGGTTCGCCTCAGCAGCTGGCTGTCCTCACACATAGCCTCTTGTCAGGGCTCTTGGCAAGGCTGAGGCGCAGCAGAGACTGAAAGACTTGCAGGGGGAACTGGCGGCCAGGAAACCGGTGCAGGGAAGGTGGGAGCTTGGCCGGCGATGGAGGGAGCAGCGGAGAGGCAGGGAGGCGGGGCCAGCAGCCTCCGAGGCTTATGAAGCCATGCTCAGCCGCGAGTTATCCCTTGTCTGTGCCCATTCGCCACGGCCTGGGTTGTCCAGGGACTCCCCTTACCAGGTCATTCTGTTTGCTTGCTTTCTTGCTTGCTTGCTTGTTGTAATAATTGCTGGTAATATTACTCTGTCTGGGAACATG